AGCGCCAATCCCGCCGTGCAGTCAATTTCACTGGTTAAGGTTAGGGTCAGGTGTGGGGTAGGTTTAGGGGTTAGCATTTTTGTAGCATAGTGTAGGAAATCAACACTGTGATTGACACAACCAATAAAATCTTTAGAATCAGCTGTGGGGCGGAGTTTGCACTGAAGTGGATTGGGGGAAAAATTGCGCATGCTTGTCATGTGCCTGTCTGTCAATGGGAGGAAGCCACGCCCTATTTTGGAGCTCCCACCCCGTTTTGGAGTACCCGCCCCCATTTGGAGATCTCCAGGCTGCAGTTATACCCTTCTCGATAATGGCTTAAAATGTGAACATTGGCATCGGTCCGATATGTACAATTATGCCGATATGTGTTGCCGATAAGACGAATAACTCACATATGCTCAGGGTGTGCTTAGCGATAAGATCAAGTCAGCAGTGTGGCTCATTCTTTAAGCAAAGTTTTGCCTGAATGATGATTGGATTCACTGTTTTGGATCGCTGCATTTAAACTGAGAATGCATGGACATTAATTTCGTAGGGGGCGCTGTTGGCCTACTTTTAATAAAATTAAAGTAAAATACACAAATAACATTTAGACTGTTTCTGATTAAATGAAGCAGTAATTGATGTCATAAAATCATGAGTATGTTTTGATTTAAAGGTCAGAAGCTATAGCTTACATAAATAAATAAAAAAATCACAAACATGACACTTGTAAATTAAATAATTTTATATAGCCTCTACTGATTTATTCATTAATGTGTAATATATGTCATATTTTTTAAACAAATTATGAGCTCTAAAATATTTTCAGAATTTTTACAACTCTTTTGCTTTAGACCATCTACAAATGTTAAATCTTAAAATAAAATGTTAAGGTTACTACTGCATCTTTCTGAAAAAAAATGCAGCGATTGATATATAGTTTATTTATAGTTATTTTCAAAGCTTCAATGTCCAATGTTCAATGGCCAAAATGAGTTGAAAAATATCGGCATATCGGCAAAAATTCAATATCGTGCATCCCTAGTGAAAATGTCGGCAGATTCTGTCTCACGTCACTTCCAACGCGGCAGATGATTTGTGAGCAGCTCACCTTCATGCACACACACACAGGGGCCGTATTCATCTTAAATGAAATTAAACCGGTTCCCTTTTTTTGTGCTTCTTTAATAGCATACAGCGAGAGGGAACACTATTAGGGAATTACTCACGCTCTCAACGCAAAGTGCTCGACATTCAACTGTGAATGAGGAGCTGTGTTTGCTCAAGCGAACTCCAGAGCACAATCAGGTTTTGCGAGACTGGAGGTAACTCTGGCTCGAACCGACTGGAGAGCGGCCAAGCTTTTGCAGGAGTTTCTCTTTTCTTCTGTGTGATATTTACTTTACAGCCATTCAGAGCAACTGACTGGGGCGAGACAGACAAGCATGGAAAAAAAGACTAAGTCCCTCTTTAACACATATTCTTCTCGAGTATTGACACAACAGTGCGGTTCCAATGAAATCGGGTTCTTTAGTGGAGATGTCGAGCTACGTATGGACTGGAAAGGGTGGTTCACGTGATGGGGACGTGGGGGCATGGTGTGACTCGTACTCTTTATTGCTGGATAGAGGACTGAGTCTGTCCTCTTTTATGGGAAATGAATGAATAAACATTGGCGGTTCATGCTTTTGTCGTGACTCACAGACATAGTTTCAAGCATGATAGGAATAATAGGGAAATAAAGCAGTTGTGTAATTTGACTGTGAATTCTTTTGGATCCACGCCACGGTGTAAAACACCGGCATGTACGGGCAGGTAGAAAGTCGATTTACTTCCCCTCCTTTTGTGCGCCAGTCGCTATTGTGAAAACTGAGATCTCTGCGATCAGAGACCCAGAGATCGCTGATGCATCTGACCCACATACTGATCTGCTCATTTGTTTTGCTGTGCTGTTTGGTAAATAACGAGGTTTAATTGTTTGGTTGGCCATTAAGGGACAGTTCACCCAAATATGAAACTTCGGTCATCGTGTTGTTTGAAACATGTTTTCTGTGGATGTACCGTGATATTTATGATAATGGGATCATAAAAGTATTTTATACAACCTGTGTGCTATATTTCATGTCTCCTAAAGACATACAATAGCTGTTTGGGTGGAACAGACTGTAATTTGAATCTTGCCTTCAGCTGTAGATCTCAAATCTCATTGCACTTCAATGAGTAATGACTATTTTAATTAATTGTGATCTGTTTCTCTCACAAAACTATCAGGTTTCAACCAAGGTGAGGGTGGGTAGATGATGCCTGAATGTTCATTATTTGCTGAACTGTCCCTTTAAGAGTGTAGTTCACCCAAAAAAATGACACTTCTGTCATCTTTTTTTCATTCTAATGTCATTGTAGAATATTTTGGGGAATCTACAAACTGATCTTTTCCATACAGTGGAGCTGACCAAAAGTAACAAAAACACCATGAAAGTGCCATGAAAATAGTCGATATGACTTATTATGGAGCCATACGATTGCTTTGGGTTCAAATTTCAGTTGTTATTTGAGCTCTGAAACCTCACTGACATCTCTTCATCACACAAAGCTGTCTTTTGAAGCTGTCATATGACTTCAAAAGACTTGATAAAAGAAGAATAAGTATAGAAAAAATAGTCTTTTTTGGAGCTTGGCACCGTTCATCGTATCACTTTGAATGAATTAAAAAGAGCAGCATGAACATTTTTTGTATTACCCAGAAAAAGAAAAAATCAAACAGGTGTGAAACAACAAGGAGAGTAAATTCACCCATAAATGACACTTCTGTCGTAAGTTATTCACCCTAATGTCATCTTAGGATATTTTGGGAAATCCACAAACTGATCTTTTCTGTACAGTCCCAAAAACGCCATAAAAACTTTTGTGCTTTATTGCAAGTGACCTGAAACCATGTTGTAGATTTGTGCCTGAAATTTAAGTTGCTTTTTGATTGTTTTACAGTGTTGTTTAGTGCTACTTTCCCATTCACTTTCTTTGTATAGAAAGAGCAGCTAGAACATTTTGCATAACACCTCAAAGAGTGAAATATGCCCAAAAATGACAGTTCTGTCTTAACTTATTCACTCTAATGTCATTTAAAGAAATTTTGGGAATCTAGAAACTAATCTTTTCCATACAGTGATCGTAAACACTGACCAAAAGTGACAAGAAAGTACCATGAAAATTGTCCACATGACTTTTGTGCTTGCAAGCGTTCTGAGACCATGCAATAGATCTGTGTCCAAAATATAAGGTGTTATTAATCTGCTCATTTGCATCTATTCGTCACACAAAACTATCATATGACTTCACTCAAAACAGATAATGGATCACTTTTACAGTGCTTTTCATTGTATAGAAAGAGCAGCTTGAACATTTTGCGTAACATTTACTGTATTTTTGAGTTCCCCAGAAGAAAGTAAAAAAAACAACACAAGGGTGTGTAAATGATGCCAAAATGTTCATTATTTGGCCAACTATCCCTATAAAGGAGTAAAATTTGCCCCCAAAAATGACAGTTCTGTCATCATTTATTCACTCTAATGTCATTTTAAAAATTTTGGGGAATCTACAAACTGATGTTTTCCATACAATAAAAGTAAACAGACCAAAAATGACAAAAACACCATAAAAGTGCCATGAAAATAGTCCACATGACTTTTGTGCTTTATTTGCAAGCGTTCTGCGACCATGCAATAGATCTGTGTCCAAAATTTAAGGTGTTATTAATCTATATGGCTCATTTGTATCTATTCGTCACACAAAACAATCATATGACTTTGTAAAACAGAGAATGGATCACTTTTACAGTTCTTTTTTTCTTTCCCATTCACTTGCATTGTATAGAAAGAACAGCTTGAACATTTTGCATAATATCTCTTTTTGAGTTTCTCAGAAGAAAGATCAAACATACAGGTTTGCAACAACATGAGGGTGTGTAAATGATGCCAGAATGTTCATTTTAGAGTGAACGATCCCTTTAAAGTTGGTCAGAATCGAGCAGTAGGTGTATTAACTGCAATTTCTGTCTAATATTGTTCGGTAGGACACAGACAGAAACTGGAAGACCCCCCTAAACCGCCGCTGTTCTCCGAGCGCCTGAGCGAGTTAGAGCGTTTACGCCAGACCAGCATGAGAGTTGCCGTGCAAACCCAGAGTCCCCGGCCGTCTCTCAACGCCATGCCGAACTCCTTCAATCCGCAGGGGCAAACTCAGATCTCAGGTAAACCGGCCCTTCAACGCAACTATTTCAGCCTGTCTGGCATGACCTTTAATGGAGAATGGCTGTGGTTTATGTACTGTACAAACATCAGTGTTTGGAGAACAGGTAGGTTTATTTAAGAGGCCTGATTTGCTGAAGATAAACCTGCGAAGATAAAAGCCAGTGGGCGAGAATGATGCAAGAAATAGAAATGGTGAATTCGACAACGTCGATCAGATTTAAACAGGAGATACTGATGGACGTGCCAAATCTGACAGTCGCAAATCCTTTTGTCTGCTTTTGAGGCTTTATCTTTGTTTGGGACTGGCTGCTTACATCACCTTAAAGGGATAGTTCACCCAAAAATGAAAACTCATTGTTTACTCACCCTCATTTCAATCCATACCTGAGTTTCTTTATTTAATGGAACACAAAAGATGTTTTGTTGAATGCTTCTCTTCATCTTCAAACCACGTCTGTGAAGGACAGAAAAGCATCCGTCCATTCACTACATTCAAGTCTTCAGAAATCATATGATAGTGAGGAACAGACCCAAATATCGTCAAATCACATTCAAAATGGTGCAGACCAGGTTCTGGCAGAGACTGATGAAGATTCCTCCTTTTTTGTTCCACGGAAAAAATAACAGCTTACGGGTTTGGAACGACATGAGAGTGAGTAAATAATGACAGATTTTCATTTCTGGGTGAACTATTGCTTTAATTCCATTACATTTGTCCAAATATTTTCATTAGTTCCTGCTTCACTTTTGGCATATTGAAGCGTGGGCTTTTTTTTTGTTTTTTTTGTCTCATGTGTGCTCAGCTTTAAAGTTTGCATAATGTTTGCCATTCTCTTGGAGCGTCTCCAGCCCCTCTCCTGTCAGAGCGGACGCTGTGTTTACTAGAATACAGTAGAACGCAAACAGGAAACCGTTCTTGGCTCTGAATGTGATTAAGCTTTTTACATCCCCCAGCCTTTTATTCTAGTCTGCTCGGTCTCGGTCTCCATATTATTATAAAAAGAAAGGTCACCCACTTTGTGTGCACAACGAGTCTTTAAATATGGCTCACCAAGAAGGACTCTTCTGAGGGTGAATCTCAAAAACATAATTTTTTATATATATATATATATATATATATAAATGATGTTGTCCATAAAGACTAGTCTATTTCAGAACCCCTGCAATTTTTTGCATTGTCACATTATTTTCATGACAATTAAACACAACAAACCCTCTTCCTGTAATGCATCCTATTTATTTATTTTTTAAATTTACTTTAATTTAATTTCAATTGTGTGTGTGTGTGTATATATATATATAAGATATAATGCAAAACATCTTAATGGCCTTAAAAATAGAATTAATTTTCTTTTAATATATGCAAAACATAACTTTTTTCTTTTGCATCATTATTTTCATGACAATTAAACACAACACACCCGCTCCCTATAATGCATCCTATTTATTTATTTTTATTTACTTTAATTTCAATTGTATACATATATGTCAAAGATATCATAACCATGCAAAACATCTTAATGGTTATAAAAATAGAATTCAATTTCTTTTAATTTGCAAAACAAAACAAAAAAAGTCTGCAAAACATAACTTTTTTTCTTTCGCTTTTAGAGTGAAACATAACCCAACATGTTCCTGACAGCTTTCACAAGACTGACTCTTTTTTTGTGGTGGTGTGTGATACCGTTCATTTTTGAGGTCCCTGTTGTAAACATCACTGAGCTATAAAAGCACTGCTGTGGTCCTGAGAGAAGAGGCTACAATCACACCCAAACACATCTTTGAGGATTCTGTCGTGCAGATGTTGACTGGAGTCGTCTCATTTATCATGCTCACAGATCCGCGGCAGGCGCAGTCCTCTCCGCCCTGGTCCTACGAGCAGCCCTACACTCCTTACCTGAGCCAAATGACGTCTCCCTCCATCCACTCCACCACCCCGCTGTCCTCCACCCGCGCCACGGGCCTGCCCACCATCAGCGACGTGCCAAGACGCCTCTCAGGTAAACTAACACCTTATAGAAAGTCCAATCACAGACAAGAGCTCTATTATCTCAAATGCTTCAGCAATGAGACTAAGACAATGTCTCAAACTGTGCTCAGATTTGATACTTAAATTCTCAACAAGTTCTCCCAAGATCAAATCCACCTTCATTTTACGCACTACTGGCCAAAAGTTTGGAATAAAAATGATTTTTTAAATGTTTTTAAAAGAGGGTTCTTCTTACCAAGGGTGCATTTATTTGATTAAACTTACAATAAATACAGTAAAATTGTGATATATTATTATAATTTAAAATAACTTTTCCATTTTAAAATATTTACAAATGTAATTTATTCATGTGATCAAAGCTGAATTTTCAGCATCATTACTCCAGTCTTCAGTGTCACATGATGCTTCAGAAATCATTCTAATATCCTGATTTGCTGCTCACTTATTATTACAACTCAATTATTAAAAATGATTCTTATTATTACCAATGCTGAAAACAGCTTATTATATTTTGTTAATGATTATGTGATCAATAACAACATTTATTTGAAATAGAAATTGTTTTGTTTTTTATCTTACCCCAAACTCTGAGGGTGACAAAAACATAATTTTTTATATATATATATATATATATATATAAATGATGTTGTCCATAAAGACTAGTCTATTTCAGAACCCCTGCAATTTTTTGCATTGTCACATTATTTTCATGACAATTAAACACAACAAACCCTCTTCCTGTAATGCATCCTATTTATTTATTTTTTAAATTTACTTTAATTTAATTTCAATTGTGTGTGTGTGTGTATATATATATATAAGATATAATGCAAAACATCTTAATGGCCTTAAAAATAGAATTAATTTTCTTTTAATATATGCAAAACATAACTTTTTTCTTTTGCATCATTATTTTCATGACAATTAAACACAACACACCCGCTCCCTATAATGCATCCTATTTATTTATTTTTATTTACTTTAATTTCAATTGTATACATATATGTCAAAGATATCATAACCATGCAAAACATCTTAATGGTTATAAAAATAGAATTCAATTTCTTTTAATTTGCAAAACAAAACAAAAAAAGTCTGCAAAACATAACTTTTTTTCTTTCGCTTTTAGAGTGAAACATAACCCAACATGTTCCTGACAGCTTTCACAAGACTGACTCTTTTTTTGTGGTGGTGTGTGATACCGTTCATTTTTGAGGTCCCTGTTGTAAACATCACTGAGCTATAAAAGCACTGCTGTGGTCCTGAGAGAAGAGGCTACAATCACACCCAAACACATCTTTGAGGATTCTGTCGTGCAGATGTTGACTGGAGTCGTCTCATTTATCATGCTCACAGATCCGCGGCAGGCGCAGTCCTCTCCGCCCTGGTCCTACGAGCAGCCCTACACTCCTTACCTGAGCCAAATGACGTCTCCCTCCATCCACTCCACCACCCCGCTGTCCTCCACCCGCGCCACGGGCCTGCCCACCATCAGCGACGTGCCAAGACGCCTCTCAGGTAAACTAACACCTTATAGAAAGTCCAATCACAGACAAGAGCTCTATTATCTCAAATGCTTCAGCAATGAGACTAAGACAATGTCTCAAACTGTGCTCAGATTTGATACTTAAATTCTCAACAAGTTCTCCCAAGATCAAATCCACCTTCATTTTACGCACTACTGGCCAAAAGTTTGGAATAAAAATGATTTTTTAAATGTTTTTAAAAGAGGGTTCTTCTTACCAAGGGTGCATTTATTTGATTAAACTTACAATAAATACAGTAAAATTGTGATATATTATTATAATTTAAAATAACTTTTCCATTTTAAAATATTTACAAATGTAATTTATTCATGTGATCAAAGCTGAATTTTCAGCATCATTACTCCAGTCTTCAGTGTCACATGATGCTTCAGAAATCATTCTAATATCCTGATTTGCTGCTCACTTATTATTACAACTCAATTATTAAAAATGATTCTTATTATTACCAATGCTGAAAACAGCTTATTATATTTTGTTAATGATTATGTGATCAATAACAACATTTATTTGAAATAGAAATTGTTTTGTTTTTTATCTTACCCCAAACTTATTACTGTTTTTACTGTTTTTTTGATCAAATAAATACAGTCTTGGTGAGCACAAGAGACCTCTTTCAAAAACATGTTGTCAATTTCTTTTTTTCCAAGTATTTTATTTTTAATTTTCCTATATTTTTTATATAATTGTCCTATATTATTTCCTAAAGTTTAGTTTTAGTTTTTTGAGTCAAAATTGATATCTAAATTCAAGTTGAAATCAACATTTTTCAGGCTGTTTTAGCAACCATCTGTCATATAGACTCATTTTTATTACCCAATCAATTAAAGATAAATCAAATCAAGCCCCGCCCTATTTTTATGCATTGAACATCCTGTTTCACTCAGACAGATGTGGGATTAGAGAAGTAAAGTGAGTTTTTCACTTGTTGACTCCACATGAAATCACAACTGAGATATAAAAGAGCAACCTCTAAGCAATTAAATTCTCCTCTGGCTCATATCGCTTTCTCTGCCAACCACTCATTTCAGAAATGTGGGAAATGGAGTGTCTCAACGTGCCTGTATTTACTTTCTTAGCTGATCGTGTTAGCCGTGAACATTTGTCCAAACACTCATTCGCTGAAGTCGAATCAAAGCATTTTTCCAGCGTTAACTTTCTGCTTTGCAAGCGTTTGTTACTTCGCCCGTGGGCAAATGGCTTCCAAGCAATAGCACCTTTAAAAATAGAGAGCATTTGAAAGAATATCTCCCCTAACCCCCGTCCTCTCCGATGGAGTCTTTGAACTCAACTCTCTTTTGAAATGCCTTGAAAAGGAACAATAAAACAGACTAGAGTTTCTGCCTCACGGACCTCAAAAGGTAAACGGGTAGTTGGTACATAACACGTCTATTGGATTTTATAATAGAATTTATTTGAATGCAGGGAAAGTGTACGTCATAACTTCAGTAACTGATCACTATTTCTCTATTTATCTCTTTAATGTTATTTTATTTATACAATTGTATTTTCGTTTTTATTTTAAATGATCATGCATTGTAACAAATACATTTCTAAAATATTGCAAATATATATATTGAGCATTTATATCAAATAATACATTTTATAAAAATATATTTTAAATACTTATATAATTTTATTTTATTTATACTACTTTATTTGTATTTTTTGTCCTAAAAGTTAATAAAATAAAATAATATAAATATTTAAAATATTTTTTATAATATATATATATATATATATATATATATATACACATGCATTTTTAAAATGCACAAATATTGCATTTAAAACTATTGAGTGAAAACAAATGAAAAAGTAGTATAAATAAAATAAAATATTAAAGCGATAAAATAAATAAATAGTTGCATGCATAATTTTAATATATATACACACATTGCATGCACAATAATTTATTATATATTTCATGCATAATTGTATTTATTTTTTTCATCCATACTAGATCATTTTAAATGACAAATGCATTTTTAAAACATACAAATATTCCACATAGCATTTAAATTCACATGCGTTCATAACGGTTGCATGAACAATCATTACAAGAGAATGTTGTTTAAAATAGTTTTAGATGGGGTTTTAAAAAGCAATTCTCGTCAACTATCCAAAAGCTCTCGAGTCCAAACCCTAGGAAGAGCTTGCTGTGACCGTGCCTTTATTAATGAAATAGGCACCAGATTGCGGTCCACCCGCCCTTTGGGGTTCGTTTTGAAACAAACACACAGCGTGGACGTTTTCTTTAATACACCTGTTTGACTCTCCGCCAGGTTGGTTTTTGAACTTTTTTTTTTGGCTCCCCACCCTAACTGTTTTCTTTGAGCCTGGAGCGAATGTGAAAGTTTAAATGGCTTCTTGGTGTGGCTGCTTTTTGAACCCCGGCCAGCTGCCTCATTGGGTTTAATTAGTTTAGATTTCACCCGGCTTTCATCTTGGAGATGTCAGCCTTTGTTCTTTCCTCAAAGAGACACACGCACCTCTTGGTCCTAACGCCCCCTATTCTTCCTCGGAGCGCCGCTGAATGGCTCGGTCTCGAGAAGACACGTCCCGAACGCATCGCACCCTCTGCAGCTGCTTGCGTGGCTGTTCTTCTCCACCGTGGGCTCGTGTTACACCCTTCAGCCAGAGACCTGGTGACTGATAACGACGCAGATGAAGGCATGCATAATATTACACAGAGAGCGATGAATTATCAGAGCGGGATACTGGAGGACTGTATAGAACTTTGATTTTTCCTTTTGTGGAAGTCTGTTTAAGGAGGCTGGTTTAAAAGCATGTTTGGTGGACTCAATGATGGTATCAAGTCTGAATATATCAGTACTTTGATATATGCAATAACACAGAATGCATATACAAATCAAATGTATACCTTGATAAAAAGTGGCTTTGGATAAAGACATCTTCCAAATGAGTAAATGGATCTTCATCTAAGGATCTTCAGAGAATGCCATGGTACATATCCACAAAACATGGATTTTAAACATATATATAAAAAAAAAAAAAAACATGTTGTATGTCCATAAAACCATGGTATTTTGATATATACCAAGGTACCGAATACAAAAAAGTACTTTAGCAGTACCATGATTTTGAATGAAGTCTCTTCTGCTCATCACGGCTTCATTTATTTGATCAAAAATACAGTAATACTGTGAAATATTACAATTTAAAACAACTAGAAAAATACAAATCTTTTTTTAACACTATGAATGTCATTACTGCTACTTTTGATCAATTTAATGCATCCTTGGTGAATAAAAGTATTCATTTAAAAAAAAAGAAAAAAATCTTACTGACCCCAAAACACCATTATACATCTTTGTTAGTGGCTTCTGTACTTCTTAATGTGCTCTTAAAGTAAGCAGGCAGTCTTGTAGCAGGCAACCCGAGGTCAAAGGTCGCAAGATCACACTGATGATAGGTCACAGCTTGAGCCATCATGATCCTCTTGGTTTCTAGCCTTGAGCTTCAGCTACTAGACCACACCATCCCTGTAATACAAAGTGATTGATGTCGTATTAAGTTTAGCCAAAAAGGGTCTGGCAAGAGCCGATAGCATAATGGGTTCATTCTCGTGAATGTCTGCAGCGAGGAGCGATGTTTAATGGTGATTGAAGGTTGTATATGTGAATTTCTGTCATTGTTTTGGAAATGTGACTTGGGTCTCCTCTCTTCTGCACTGTCTCCCTGAAGTGTCTTTTTTGTTTGGTTTGAAATGTCAAGAGTTGATAATGTGGAGAGACAATCTGCTCATAATTGGCCACACATGTTCTGTAAAGTTTGCCGAACTGTCACTCATAAAGCGGCGCTCATGGACAACACGCGACCGCTCCTAAACCAGCAGACAAGCTGACGGGAAAGACATACAAAAACGTACTTTACCTCAGCAACAGGGTGAGAGGAAGGATGAGACGTGATTAGATCAGAGACTTTGTTTGAAGTGAAGGAAAGAAAAGGAAAAATGGACAAGGAAAAGGGGAAACAGAAAGGAAAAGATACTTGGTTTATTTGAATTCAAAGAACAACGAAGATTGGAAAAGGGAAAGGAATGGAAAAACAGATTTGAGTTTGAAGTGAAAGGAAAGAAAAGGGGGAATTGAAGTGGGGAAGAGTCAGGAAAGAGGAAATGGAAAGAAAAGGAAAGGAAAGCTTGTTTAAAGTAAAAGAAAAGGGGGAAATAGAAATTGGAAAGGAAATAGGAAATACACAGGAAAATATTCTGGTTTGTTTTAAGTAAAGAAAAGGGGAAATTATATGGTAAGAAAAAGTGAAACGGGAAGGAAAAGACTTCAGTTTGTTTGAAGTAAAGGGAAGAAAAGGGTCAAATAACCTGGGAAAGGTTAGGAAAGGGGAAATGGAAAGGAAAAGGAGTTTTAGTTTGTCTGAAGAAATAAAGGAAAGAAAAAGGGAAATGATCAGGAAGGGAAAAGGAGTTTTAGTTAAATGGGAATTGGAAAGACAAGGAGAATCATTTTGGTTGGTTTGAAGAAAATGAAAAAGGAAAATGGAAATTGGACTGGAAAACGGAAACAGAAACAGAAAGAGGAAAAAATGGTTTCACTGAAGTAGCGTAATGGCAAAGGAAAGAGGAAATAGTAAGTTAAAATCAGAGAAATGAAAAGAAAAAGGTTTAGATTTGAAGCAAAGGAAAGAAAATAGGAAAGGTCAGGAAAGGGGAAGTGGAAAGGAAAAGAAAAGAGTTTGGGCTTGTATGAAGTAAAGAAATGTGGGAATGGGAAAAGAAAGCGAGTAGAGAGGATTTTACTTTTTTGTGAACTAAAGGAAATAAAATGGGTAACTGAAATGGGAAAGGTCATGAAAGGGGAAACAGAAAGGAAGAGAAAAGAGTTTGGGTTTGTTTGAAAGAAAGAAAAGGAAAAGAAAGGGGAAATGCAATGGAAAGGAAAAGAGGAGAGGAGTTTGGGATTGTTTGTTTATAGCCTTTAATTTAGCAGGCGGCTCCATTTGAAAAGCAGATCATGATGAATGCAGAGTGCAAAAAGAGACAGATGTGGAGATGATAAGACGTTCCTCTGGGATTCTCTCTCCTGGGGTTCTGGGAGTCACAGCCCATTAGTGGTTTATAATTTAAAAACATCTTGTGGTTCTAAGAGAGTAGATCGGCCCTTCTCTTTGGCTAATCGCAGACATGCCACCACATCTGAGACTGCTCATTATGCATCCTGTGGAAACTGTTTTTTCCTCTAAGCGTTTCCATGTGCGCTCCCAGTTTATTCCGACATTTCTCTTTGATATTCATATAAATGCGAGGATGCGTGTGTTTGCGCATGTGAGCGTGAACGCACACGACGCGTTTGCATACAAACCTCCGGACAACCTTCAGCAAACGCCGCTCAAGAAACAAACAGCCAGAAGCCAAACTCACAATCTTTCAGCAGCACGTCAGCGCCTTTTGACAGTTCGTTTGCATATTGATCTTTTATGGCCCGGTGACATTTTTGCAGCATTAGTCTTCATCTTGACCTTGAATCAACCCGAGTATTGTGTAATTCAGGTTGCAAATAAACATTTAATTCAAGTTTATGTTTTGCTAGAGTAATTAAACCGCTGACATGCGAGATGAGCCAGTTTCTCTTGTCGGTCGGTTAATATTTATTGCAGTTTCCTTGATTAAAATTCCTCAGACTGAGCTTGTAAAGAGAATCTGTTCATGTGGAGTCACAAACGGGATCAATGAGCAACAATATGAACTTTTTTCTTGCACTTTGAAGTGTCATTCTGACGCGTTCATGGCTTGGGCGTTCAAACACTGACTCGTATAATAACAAAGACAAAACTGTTTTCACTCTAATCAAATTGTTTGGGAGAGCATCTTCATATTTACTTCCATTATTTTTCACACTCATTATTTGGAAGAGAAATGCAGATAAAGTTGCATGCGCTTCATTCTTCACAAGCTTCTTTTGAGTTTATAAAGGGGAGTTTTGTGTTGACAGGCTAGTTAGTTTAAGCTGTATGCAAATTAAGTTTGACAGCGCCCTCTTCTGTCTGATTTAACAATGTTCCTTTATTCATTTCGGTCTCAATTGATGTGGATGAAGCTACTTTGAAACTCAAGCTACTCATAATTTAAAGTAGTCACAGTCAAAAGTCATTATATTTATCTTCAGAGCATGCATCTAGTTCAAAAACAATGTAGGGTGTCACAGGCGAGCTAATAAATAAATACAACTGAGTTGAAAAGAGTTAAAGTCACCTAGAAGCATTTAGCAAAACTAAATATTTAACTACAAAAAATATGATAGTATAAAAAACCCACATAGACTGAAATAAACGAATGAATCCATTTTAAAACTGAATGTTATATGCAATGGGGCCCAAAAGTCTGACAATAAATTATGTAATATATTATGTAACTTTTCTTAGGCTTAAAAAAATAGATACAAAGAAAATGTAGAATGTAAAATGAAAATATGTCAGATTCTGCACTTTTTCCAACATGATAGATAAGTAAAATAAAGTTAAAATGCACAATTGTTCATTAACACAATGAAAACGTTAATGGAAAATGTATCTTTACAAATCTATAAACATAAGATTATATCATTGATTTATATAATCAGAGCATTTATCTTATACAAAAACAATGAGTAAAATTAACATTATGTTGTACTGTAATAATCATTATGTTGTACCTTTTTAACCCTATTTTTCCTGATTGTTTTCATACCATATAAATGCTCTGATTATATAAATAATAATAATAAATAATAATAATTTATGCATTTAGTAGACGCTTTTATCCAAAGTGACTTACAGTGCATTCAGGCCATACATTTTTTACCAGTATGTAAATAAATAAAATAAATTATTAAAAATTATTATTATAAATAATTAAATGATATGACAGCGCCCTCTTCTGTCTGATTTAACAATGTTCCTTTATTCATTTCGGTCTCAATTGATGTGGATGAAGCTACTTTGAAACTCAAGCTACTCATAATTTAAAGTAGTCACAGTCAAAAGTCATTATATTTATCTTCAGAGCATGCATCTAGTTCAAAAACAATGTAGGGTGTCACAGGCGAGCTAATAAATAAATACAACTGAGTTGAAAAGAGTTAAAGTCACCTAGAAGCATTTAGCAAAACTAAATATTTAACTACAAAAAATATGATAGTATAAAAAACCCACATAGACTGAAATAAACGAATGAATCCATTTTAAAACTGAATGTTATATGCAATGGGGCCCAAAAGTCTGACAATAAATTATGTAATATATTATGTAACTTTTCTTAGGCTTAAAAAAATAGATACAAAGAAAATGTAGAATGTAAAATTAAAATATGTCAGATTCTGCACTTTTTCCAACATGATAGATAAGTAAAATAAAGTTAAAATGCACAATTGTTCATTAACACAATGAAAACGTTAATGGAAAATGTATCTTTACAAATCTATAAACATAAGATTATATCATTGATTTATATAATCAGAGCATTTATCTTATACAAAAACAATGAGTAAAATTAACATTATGTTGTACTGTAATAATCATTATGTTGTACCTTTTTAACCCTATTTTTCCTGATTGTTTTCATACCATATAAATGCTCTGATTATATAAATAATAATAATAAATAATAATAATTTATGCATTTAGTAGACGCTTTTATCCAAAGCGACTTACAGTGCATTCAAGCCATACATTTTTTACCAGTATGTAAATAAATAAAATAAATTATTAAAAATTATTATTATAAATAATTAAATGATATAACAGAAATTGTACTGAAAAGTATATAGCAATTTTTAAAAATGCACAAAAAAGTATTTTCACTATAGTGCACCCAGACTTTTGAACCGCACTGAAAGAAGACATGCTTAAAACTTTTTCTTGATTTAAATATCACTAAAAAAAGCTGTTCTTTTTTCTCTCCACCAGGTACGTCGGATCTCAGTCCGTTCTCGGCCGACCCGCGGCAGTTTGAACGTCAATTTCCCGGTCTGTCCTCTCTCACAGATTCCCGTTTCCCCAGTCCCAGAATGCACTATCCCGCGACCTTCACATACACCCCTACACCGGTCACCTCGGGCATGTCTCTGGGCATGTCCAGCACCACCCACTACCACACCTACCTGCCTCCGCCGTACCCCGGCTCCACCCAGAACCAAAGTGGGCCCTTCCAGACCAGCAGCACGCCGTACCTCTACTACGGCGCCTCGTCCGGGTCGTACCAGTTCTCAATGGTGCCGGGCGGAGATCGATCCCCCTCCAGGATGCTGCCGCCTTGCACTAGCGCGTCCACCGGCAGCACCCTCATCAACCCCAACCTGCCCAATCAGGCGGACGGAGGTGAGGCGGACGGCAGCCACAGCAGCTCGCCAACTGTTCTCAACTCCAGCGGGAGGATGGACGAGTCCGTTTGGAGACCATATTGAGACGGTCTGGTCGAACGAGACCTCAATGCAGCACTGTTAGCCTTAAAGACCAAGAGCGAGAGATAATTGCTTGAAAGAATCATCGGATTAGAAGCACAAACTCATTGGTACTCATTGGTACTCACTGGTACTCATTGGTACAATATTGAATGGTTGCAGTGTATTTTTATGACTACACTGAGGTTTTTTTCTATAAAACAGATGACCCTTACAGGGAATGATAAGGTGCGATCATATTAGCAATATTTAATGCAATATTAGCAACGGTAAATGTGAACGCACCTTTAGTCTAATTCATCTGACATTCCACTTCATCAGTGATATAACCTATAATGCAAGTCACTGAATTTAAAGGAATAGTTCAGCCAAAAGTGAAAATACATTCACCTTCATGTCGTTCCAAACCCGTAGGACTTTCTTTCTTCTGCAGAACACAAAAGGAGATGTTTAGCACAATGCTGATGCTGCACATTTAGATACAACAAAAGTGTACTGTCACTGTCATGCCTGGTGTTTGGGGCTTTTAAACTCCGAAAAGCACCAACAAAGTGACTTGTGAGCTCACTCAATAGCTTTGTGCAAAGAACAGACCTATATTTAAGAGTAAACGATGCCAGAACGTTTATTTTTGGATGAACTATCCCTTTTTCTGTCCTTGAGTAAATGTTCATTGCAATAGGAATGCATCCATACTATTGGCGCAGAATATTTTTATACTAACTCGGTATAATTTAGCATTTCTTAACACTGAAAGCAATTGTTTTTTTTGTTTTTTTTTTATTTATGCGTGCTAGAAGTCAGCTATTAATTCCCTCTGATTATTTTAATTTATGTATGAAATGGTAGCAAACAGTACTGATTCGAGAAGCAATATAAGCCATATAAACATTAAATTATGCAATGTGTTTAGAGGGACAAAATTTAAGACGTTTGATTTTTGGGACATCTATTAATAACTTAATGAAATATTTACTCGTTTTGTAATTTAAATGCTTTGTTATTATTATTGTTATTGTAAAGCAACCAAAAAGAAAATCCAATGATACGTAAGCAATGAAGGAAGGACATTTCATTGTAAGACTATATCCACAATTAAACGTTTGTGGATTTTTCTCAGAATAAATTCTCAGTCAGAAACGTTACATATTAAGACATCCAGAAATGTTTTAGACTGAGTACATCTGAGCAAGTAACATCTATAACAAAAACGATCAATAAATGTACAAAGATATGTTACGAGAGGTGACGTGCTGCACTCTCCACTTGTTTGATTTTGGTATCCGATGTTTATCTAGTTAATTTATTTTAGATTTATTTTTTATTTAATGTTTTTCGGTGACTACAAGAACGACCAAACTCTTGCAGCAGTGGCCTAAACCTTTGCATCTTCAGATACAGACATGATCAAATCTCACGCATGCACTTGCAATGATAAAACGGCCAGTTTCCGTCTCTTGTGCAGATATGAAACCAATACGATCGTCAGCCTTCTGTTCTATAACTGGATGGTTAACTGCACTTTGTAGGTTAGTTAAACACTATGCAAACTGTACTACAACAATCAAACTCAGAAATGTCTCTTTGCTGTGTGCTAATGTTCTTGAGGTACAATATAATCAAGTACTTTTACTGGCATGTTAGACAACAGAATCTTTGGGCTGCAAGGCATTTTACTGAACGGACAATCAAATTGAGTAGCCTAAATTACACAATGGATGTTTACCAGAAAAGTTTATCATCTCCATTTCTAGAATTTATTTATTGGTCAGCAATCCATAATGAGTTGGGATGAAATTATCACTGACAAGAGAACTCCTGCAAATTTTGAAACAATTATATCTGTAATAATGAAATTTTCTTTACACTTTGTAGTTGGCGTCTTTGAAGAATATTGTGTATGTTTTTGGATTCAACAACAAGTGCTACTTGATAGAATGTTTGTCCAAATGTAAGTTAATAGGCTGCTGGCAGCGCCCTTCTGAAACAAACGTCACTTGTCTTTTTATTTCTATTTTTGTTTAGAACAAAGCACTTCTTCTTTTAAAGGGATGTAAAACAAATGAAGCCTAAATGGCAAAAACAAAAACACAAATGCATGTCCGGGTTATATTTTAATCAAGAAGTTACATTTAGCATGAAGAAAATAAATCCTGTTTTCAGGATTATAATTTTTTTCCAATTCAGAAAAACTACTTTAATGTGAAAAATCGTATTCCAAATTATAGTGAAACAGTAATGATAATATAAATACTTTTAATAAATGTAAATATTAGTGCTGTCAAACGATTAATCGCGATTAATCGCATCCAAAATAAGTTTTTGTTTGCATAATATATGTCTGTGTTCTGTGTATATTTATTATGTATATATATATATACAGGTGCATCTCAATAAATTAGTTAGTCGTGGAAAAGTTCATTTATTTTAGTAATTCAACTCAAATTGTGAAACTCGTGTATTAAATAAATTCAATGCACACAGACTGAAGTAGTTTAAGTCTTTGGTTCTTTTAATTGTGATGATTTTGGCTCACATTTAACAAAAACCCACCAATTCACTATCTCAACAAATTAGAATATGGTGACATGCCAATCAGCTAATCAACTCAAAACACCTGCAAAGCTTTCCTGAGCCTTCAAAATGGTCTCTCAGTTTACACTAGGCTACACAATCATGGGGAAGACTGCTGATCTGACAGCTGTCCATATTTTGAAAATATTTACATGTCTATATTTATATTCATATAATTTATATTATAAATAAATATATTTAATATATAAACATAACGTATTTTTCTGAAATATATACATGCATGTGTGTGTATTTATATATACATAATAAATATACACATACACATACATTATGTAAAGAAAAACTTTTATTTTAGATGCGATTAATCGCGATTAATCATTTGACAGCGCTAGTAAATATGCGTTTTATTCATCTTACAGTAAATAATAATTATGAAAAATTATGAAAAATCCTGAACAAATACCAAACGTGGTCCTAAACCTCATGCAAAATACAATATCATGTTTATTTTTTCCTTCGTTTTTTGTGATGAAATATAACCTGAACAAGATCAGTTTTAAGAAAATCACCCAAAATGAATTGCATCTCCATTTGAAATCAAAGGTCGTGGCAGAAACAACTAATTTGAGCTTAAAACAAACCTGTATGTGTGTACCACCCACATTTGTCATTTCTTCTGTACAGTATTAAACTCCATTTCTTTGAGTTCGGTAACAATAACTACACTTACACTGCTGTTCTTAACTGCCCCACTATTTGATTTAGCCTTTTCTTTTACCGTGGTGTCTTCTGGTAGTGAGGAGAGCGTTTATGTTTACAGAATGTTTACAAAAAAGCTGCAAGCAGGTAACTGCAAATGTAAAGAACCTCTGCACTGTTAACTTTGTATGAATCCATGTTTAATTGCTTCAATATGCCTGATAATACAAGAACAACATTGGTCTGTCTTAATCAAACATGTCACAGGGCCAAATATTTATATGCTTTTGGGCTATGGACTATGTTTTTCATTGACTTTTTTATATGTAGTACCCTTGCAAGAGTCGGTTTTATGGGTCAATAGCAGAGATTCCTTCCATGAGACTATTTATATTCATTCTATACATAAAAAAAAAAAGCATTGAGATTTCATTTACATACAGTACGTTCTGTCATTATCACAGACATATACAGAGAGTTTTGGGCTTCTCCTTATTTGCAAATTTCATTTACATTGCAAGTATGCAAGGTCAAATTAACTCATGAAGAAAACCAAATGCTTCCGCGACGTCTTTTGCGCTCCATTATTGTTGTTTCTGTACTGTTAACTAAAGTGTTTCATATTTGAAACCCTGGAAATCCTGCTTTGGAAATATGCATCATTTTGATTGAACACAATCCTTGGTTTGTAAACAACGGGAGCATTCCTTCCTTGCACATACTGTACAGATGTTTCAGTTTCGACAATCTTTCGTCCTGTTTCATCCATAAAGTTTGTGAAACTTTAACCTGTTTGTATGGGACTAACAATCCAGTAAAAAATGGTGAGATTTTTGAGCATTTCTGATGATTGTATCATTTGTCTTTGAGAATAAAAATGGCTTTTTGTTATAACTCACTGTTTTCTTTTTTCATTTCATTAATGGGGAATATATGATGATTATATTGACTGTATGTACCACTGTTAAAATAAGCAGTTTGATAAACACAAATGTGCAATCTGGTAAAGAAACTTAATGCATGAATTAACCACTTAAGGTAGGAACAGATCACATTTGTTTTCAATGATTTTGCATATTTTTATCAACACATGCATTTGTCCTTTTCTAATGACACTATGCACAAAAGAGTTAATGATATAAACCAAATATTAAACAATATATATATATATAACTGTAAATTAACTTTCAACCCCTTTTCAAAAATAAAAAAAGACTTGCAATCGTGATTGACTTCATTAAAAACACCTCAAGAGCAGGTGCTTCCTAGAAAACGTGAACTTGTGTTGGACGCACCAAGGGGAGCAAGAAAAACTACTTTCACTGCTGTTTCACTGAGCTCTAGTTAAATAACAACCTCAGGCGCTGCTGGTTTGACAGTCTGTATTATATATATGGCTGCACTGGAAAACTCCCACGACCAACAAAAAGAGCTAATCATCAAGGAAGTACTTCATTAAACGTCTGTATCTGAGTCATAGTTACTAAAACACGTCCACAATCTGTTACATTTAGAAATGTCATTTAAAAATGCTGTTCAGCAGCTAATAAATAAGCTGAACTCAACTCAACTGAGCGCAACATTATTGAACTGAACAGAAGACAGTGCTAAGCTAAATTCAGTTTGAGAGTGAGACAACTAAACGTAGATGTGTTGAACTGAACTGAGCTTAACAACTGAACTTAGCTGAACTACAATGAATTGAATCAAACTGAAATGAACATAGCTGAAATTAAACAGAATGTAAATAAAAACAGAAAAATTCCACTACATTAAAAAATGACATTGAGCCATCTGCAGTTTTGTTAAACAGAATTTACACCAAACTGAACTCAATCAATATTGAACTAAACTGAACAGAAGGGACTAAACTAATTAACTGAATTCATTTTAAGGCAGCTGAACTTTTAACTGAACTTCAAATTTAATAAGATTTAACTGAACATAGCTGAAATTAACAGAAAAATTCTTTTACAAATGAAATTTTGCAACAGTTTTGTTGAGCTTTACTGATTAGACTGAAATGAAACTGAACAGAATCTAAATGAAGTGAACTGAATTTAACTGAACACAATTTAAATAAACATTGCTGAACAGACTGGAAAGGAAAATAAGAAACATCTGCTAGAAATTAATTACATTTGCCAGCAATTTTGTTGAACTTGACTAAACTGATCTTAAACTAAATAAACTGAAGCATTTAAAGGAAATAAGACTGGCTGAGCTGAACTAAACTATGTTCAATTGTCAAACTAAATGGAATTGAACTTAGCCGAATTAAAATAAACTGAACCAAACTGAATTTAACTGAACTTAGCTGACCTGAACTAAATATAAATACAAACAGAGGAAAATTTAGAAATGACATTTAGCCATCAATAGTTTACTGAACTGAATTCACACAAAACTGAACCAATCTACACTGAACTAAGCCAAACTGAAGTAAACAGAATTGAATTGAATTGAACTGAACTTGGACATGCAATCAGTAGTATAATAAACTGAATTGACACTAAAATTGAACTAAGCTGAACTGAAGTGAACTGAATTGAATGCAACTGAACAGAATTTTTTTTTTTAACTTAACATAGCTGAACTGACTGGAAATGAAAACAATAAACAACTTCTACATTTAGAAATTACATTTGCCAACACAACAACTCAACTATCTTGGACTGAATTCAATAAGGGAAATACCAAACTGAATTTAACTGAACTGAATTAAAAATAAAAAGAGAAAATTTAGAAATGACATTTAGCCATCAGTTTACCGAATTGACACTAAACTGAACTGAAATCAATGAACTAAGCCAAACTGAAGTAAACAGAACTGAATTTAACTGAACTGAACAAGGTCATCAGTAGTTTAATGAACTGAATTGACATTTGACACTAAAATCTATCTCAACTTTGCTGAACTGAAGTGAATTTAACTGAGCGGAACCAAATTGAACTTAACATAGCTGAACTGACTGGAAATGAAAACTCAAAACATCTGCTATTTTTACTGTAGAAATGACATTTGCCAGCAGCTCTGTTGAACTAAATTGATCTAAACTGAACTAAACTGAACAGAACTAAAGTTGTACTGCCGCTGTCTGTCGGCCTCCTGAGGGTTTTATGAGTTTGCACTTCTTAATCTTTCCAAAGAATGAAAGATATAGCTGGTCTACATTTTACATTACACTTCCCCGTCATACAGGCTGGAAATAAATAGGGCTTTCTGAACAGCTCTGATGAAAATCTGAGAGAGCTTTTCGGCCCTGGTTTACATTGTGCAACGGTACTTTAACTTGAAGAGCATAGCGATGTTTAAACTTCCTCGAGTCAGTTTGTTGAACGGGCCTTATCTGTGCATATCTTGCCAGAATATGTAGGCCCAAATCTCCATGAGATATTATATGATTTCCTGTCACTTTTCCTGACTCTATTCTGAATTTCCACGAGAGACTTTCATAACATACACTTCAAGACAGACAAATGCTCCATTATGCAGCGCGTGATGATTAATGCCCGTTAATGTGTCAGATGAAACGGATCGGTTAATGCTGTGAGCTGTTCAAACACATTGCCAACTGTTTGTCTAAACCTGCACTGAGGGTCTTTAAACGGCCCTATCAATGAACGCAAACATCCATAAGTTCAGCTTGGATCAATGTTTGGTTTGGATCACCTCAGCCAGGAAACGACTCAATGGGCTTATTTAGCGCTACTTAGAGCGAGTTCGACACTATTACATTGTTTTAAGACAAAACACGTGTGTTTCCTTTTGAAAATGAACATTGTGCTCAATGTTCTGTCATCTTTATCAGGGCTAATTGATAAAAGTTCTCAGATTCTGTTTTCATTCGTGGGTCGGCACGTTGCCTGACGGTTTCAAGTGAAAATAAACAAGTACGAAGAGAGAGCAAGAACTAATGATGGTCTTTCCGTATCAAACAAAAGTGGGGTTGATAGTGCAAAAGCCAAACGCTGAGACAATCTAAGAATTAGGAACATCATCTCTGGCCTTTTTAAGACAAAACTCAGAGCGGCTGCTGATAAATGGATCTTATGGTTTCTTGTTGCCGTGCTCAAAAAAAAAAAAAAATGGATGATTGTTTTTCTGTCTCAGAGTAAAAAACTAAAATAGGTAATTGTGAGATTACCTCACAAAAAAGCCACACTGCCTCATTATTTTGGAGGGTTGAAAACGTTTGACTTGTTAAATTTAGTTAAATTCTTGAATTTTGTCACACAACATACTGTAATTTCATTGCTTACAGTTAGGGTTGCAAAAAGGTGGAAAATTTCGGAAACTTTCCAGGATTTTTTGGAATATTCCAGGGATTTTTAGAAAGCTTCCGGAAATTTACCAGAAATTTTCCACCCCTTTGCAACCCTACTTACAGTCGGGTTTTGATTTGTAAAATGTTTACTGAATCCATAGGAATTCAAAATACATATATATACAGTATATATATATATAATACACTGTATGTATATATGTATGTATATATATAACTATTTCTTATATACATTTTTATTTATATATCTGATATCCCTTTTAAGTCATAATTCATTGCATGAATTAAAAAAAACATTTAATTCAGATCATGTACTTAAACTGTTTATTTAATTTTACTTTATTTAAAATAAAATAAAATAAATAATAATTAAAGTGGTTCTTTTCTTTATTGTACTTTTTTGCTTATTGTTGTATGCCAGATAAAATGAATGTCAGTGTTTGGTAAAATAATAAATAAATAAAATAAAAATGAATCAACCAATCAATCAGTGTTTTAATTTCTTTGCATTAGGTAGGCAGCAAAGGTAGGTAACAAAATTATTTAAATGTTTACTTTTGTTCATTGAAGACTATTACAAATAAATGTTTTTCTTTTGAAAATAACTAATTTAATTGCTAGGATGTTTCCCTCAATTTAATTTTATTGAACGTTTTTCTTTTTTTTTGAGTGCAAGAACTGAACAGAAGTCTTTTCTCCGAACACCTCAGTGTCCTTCTTTGAGGAAGACAAAAATCATTTCCTATCGTTCTCTCCGGGTGAAATAGGAGGCTTCTGCTTTCACAGCGTGTTGAGGGTCAGTCATTTCTCACACAGTTAAGCCCCTGGTTGCTCCAAATCACTTCACAAGCAATCAAAAAATAAAAAAAACTTAATATTTCAGTGGAATGTTTTCGAGATGCTTTTTTTCAGGATTCTTTGATTGATATGAAATATTAAAGTCTGAATGAAATTCCAAAGAACAGAATTTATTTGAAATTGAAATCTAGAAATGTCTTTACTGTCACTTTTGATCAACTTAATGCATCCTTGTTTTATAAAAGAATTAATTTCTTTAATTTTTTATCTTTCATTGCCCAAACATTTGAATGTTAGTGTATTACAATTTTTCACAAAATATTGTATTGAATGTAAAAAAAACTGTCACAGGGACTGTACTTTGAAATGGTACACCTTTTTACCATATTTACCCCAAATGGATGTATTATAGTACCTTAAAAAGTACCTGAAGTGTTTGTTTTGTTTGTTTAATTCAGATTTTAATGCCACAGCGAAAACAGAGTTGCAAACTACAAGTTACAGTAATACAAAAACAATGAAAACCGAACAAAAAGAAAGATACAATAATTAAAACTACACACGATATTTTACATTAACTTGATAAGAAATTCTAAAACATTTTTCTGGTAAAATCTTATTAAACGGGTCCTTAGTGAGCTTAAAAACCACTTGATCAATTCTTGTTTTAAAAGAAATTAAAGTCTGTTGGAGATTTTAAATGTACATAGTACCTTTTGAAAAGGTCCTGTCTCAGTGCCAGTTTCTGTCAGTCTTTTTTCTTACAGTGATTTATATATGCAGGAATGGAATTTAAAAACCAGAGAACGGTGCAAAACTGTCTGTGAATGAATGTAAGACCTCAAATGCATCATCACCTCACTCCCGGTCTTGCTTCAAGGTCATGTCTGTGCCGAACCCTGGGCAAATTTTAAGAAACACTGCCCTCCTGTGGGTGTTCACCAGGGTTGCCAGGTTTACACAAGAAAACCCGCCCAATCGCTATCTAAAATACACGTTTTTTGGCTGGGTTCCCCTGATAAAATTCGTATTTCATGGGATAAATATCATGTTACTATTGGAGTCTCTTCAACCCGCGGACATGAAAAACAACCCGCGGCAACAGTGTTAAAGTTGCTCAATTCCGCGGGAAAACCGCAGACTTGGCAACACTGGTGTTCACAACTATTTGCAACTACTTCATTAAACCCAAGCTGGTGCTGCAACAAAAACACAAAATAAACATTAATTAATACAAATTAAAACTCTTCTCAGCACTAGTTTCACACCATGTTGCAGTATTATAATTACGAGCTATACTTAAAAAATATTTAACTAAAACATGCTTGTGCACAACAGTATGATGCCTGAAAAAAACACAATACTGATATACAGTTGCAAGGGTGTCTTCTTGTTGGCAGTAAATATGGTATTTTGATGGAAACTATATGGTTACGCCATGGTAAACTTGGGATTCCCTCTAGCTAAGGAGAGGCGAGGATGGATAGAGGAGGAGAGAAGGAGATATGTGAGCAAGGAGCCAAAGATCAGTCATTCGGGCTCCATAAATACTGTTATGAGTCAGAGACGGTGGAAGGCAGCCTTTAGAAACCATGAAAAAGCAATTTTCTGATGCACAAGCAGAAATCTTAATCTGAGTCTGATTATGGATGTCTCTAATCACAGTCTCTATGGTGGTTTTTAAGTCAGTAATTTGGAGAAAGAAGTCAATTTTCCATATGTATAGTTTGGTGAAAGTGAAGCATCTAACAGTCAATTGGGGGGGAAAGACACAAATTAAATGTAATATCTTAATTATTTCTCTGAAAAAGTCTGAGTGAGTGTGTGTGTGTGTGTGTATACATA